TTTATATATAAATGTGCCCTCATTAAAAGTAAATATAAATTTAAAATGTTATTACAGATCAAAAGCTTTAATGAAGAGAATAACTAACTGAAAAATATGCACTTAAGATAAACCCCACATTTAAATTCGGAAATATGTTGAAAAATCTGCCTTAAACTCAAAATAATAAGGTATATACACGCATATAAAATACAGTCGACCCCCCTATAACACTGTTGATTTTTCCGTTTTATATGAATTCCATGTTGTACGAGTAACTTAGATTTTACAAATACGTGTGCCGGGCTGTGAACAGCTCACGTATTTATAAAATCTAAGTGACTCGTTCAACATGGAATTCATATAAAACGGAAAAATCAACAGTGTTATAGGGGGGTCGACTTGTATAGACAAGGTAGACCAAAAGTCAGTTAACCGAGAATCGTTCCAAATAAAATTCTTCTTGTTCAGTATACAAATTACATCGTTTTAACACTCACAAATTACCGAATTGTTGACAAAAATCGCGGTTAATTAACTTTTGGACCTCCCTCCACGCATATTGTAAAAGTTTACGTTTCCTTCACGAAATTGAAAAATCTAAAAATATTTGTAAGAAGTTTTATAATACATACTTATATACATAACCTAAATGTTAAATTAAAATAAATATTTGTATTTAATTAACTATTTTACAAGTTAAAACACTTACATCAGCGCCTTTCAATATTCTACCACCCCGTTTCAAATCCAAGTTCAATGCGTACGTGTAACACAAATTGATGCCATTATATTCCTAAATTAATAGTAATTTTCCATCGATTATATTTTGGAATTTTTAAATATATAATGAATATATAATGAATTAACTGCAATAGAAAAATAAACATACAATAAATTTCAGTTTGCAGAGTTTTTCTATTTTCTGAGCAGTAGACAGGGATTTTCCATTTTCGATCATTGCGTTGAAACAATAATCAAATATTTTAAAATCCTATAATAAAATTTTAAAATGTATGTAATTTTTTTATAATAAAAAAACTAAATTTCAATTTAATAAATATAAATGGAGAATGGGTGGTAATATGGCACCCTGCTGACAATATTGAATCCCTCAGTTGTTCTGTTGTTTACTATTCTTGTAAGTGTAAAATTGTGAATTCAAATTAGGGATAAGTAGACAATAGAATAAGAAAGCTAAACATACCAGAAATTNATCCTATAATAAAATTTTAAAATGTATGTAATTTTTTTATAATAAAAAAACTAAATTTCAATTTAATAAATATAAATGGAGAATGGGTGGTAATATGGCACCCTGCTGACAATATTGAATCCCTAAGTTGTTCTGTTGTTTACTATTCTTGTAAGTGTAAAATTGTGAATTCAAATTAGGGATAAGTAGACAATAGAATAAGAAAGCTAAACATACCAGAAATTTAAAAAATTGAGTTTACATTTCATAAGAAATCGCTCAAAAACAATATACTGTATCTTACTTTTTGAAGTCCTAACTCCAATTCGCAGTCTGCTTCAGCACTTGGATTGTCTAAAGCTGTAAATGAATTATAAATGAAATTTAATTACCTTAAACGAATAAATATTCAAAAAATTAATTTCTATTTAATTTTGAAATTTAAACTGAACTGAATTTTAACTGTGAATTATCTCCCAAATTTACAATTTTAAGTTAATTGATTACTACTAAATTCCTACCAGCTGAGTTTCGATATGCATAACCTATGCTGCATTTTTTTTTCGCTGCGATGTTTACATTAATTTAGATAAATTAATTCAAAAAGAAATATATGTAAGTCGTGTATACTTCGCTGATAATGCGTAAATTTTCTAAACATAAGAACAAAGTATATATTTACAATGCGATCTCACGCGATGCAGATATCTTTACAAAAGAGACATTAAGTAGTTAATCGGTAGAGCAGTATGACAATGCCTTGTTCTCTATGCGAAGTGATTATTCTTTATGGAGAAACGAGACAGAATACACGAAGCATGTAGCTTCTACTAGATCTTTCCAACTACGAGTGCAGGAAAGCCATTGAACACTGGTCAGAAGTTGTACCTGATTAACGGGCGAGTTTTCCAAGTTCTCTTCACGAGTTCTCTTGCGTAACACATAAATAAGACCAGTTTCCCCACAGAAACTTCTCTCGGAGGCACACCTCCATGGCAGATCGCCCATGTATTGCGTTACCTTATCCTATGACCTCATCTCTTTTCCAGCTGTAAACATACGTTTTAAACATAGCAAAATAAAACTAATTGTTTCTGTATTAATTTATAAAATATTGATTTTTATTCTTCGGAGTCAGAGATTCTTTAGGCGTTATGCTAAATCTTTTTAAAATGATTACTTTCCGCTGTCTTTCCGCTTAGGAGAGACGGGTTTGTGTATTGCAACGGAAGTACCGTGCGATTTAAACATGTCACTATTTGAATAAATTTATTTTACTCTAAACATCATAGTAGAACTAATGCATCGTATGCAAGTACACGCATTGCTGGAAAAGTCTCTTTTGTGTCTTAAAGTGACAGATTTTTCCCTTTGGTAAAGAACTAGGACAGGAAGGTTTTTATCCAGCAGGAATCTGTCTTGATGGTATTCTGCAAAGAGGCCGTTTACATATTTTAAGAAATTTTCATTGAATAGTTAGAAATTTTAAAAAAGTTCCTTAGAAATTTGACATTCCAAACAACTAATTAATTTAAAATTTAAACTCTATTTTATGTGTATATTTCAAGAACGTATACAAAACACAACATACATAAAAAAAAGAAATCTTACCACAGAATCGATCCATGACGGTGCCGGTGCAGGAAACGGGTAAATTTTCAGTATAACATTTTACACGGGATAAATAAAGTAAAGAAAGAAAAATCAAACCGAAGCAATACATTTATACCTTTAAAAATATTTTCCAACAATTCAATATTCTCAATTCAATGTTTATATATAAATATATAAATCCATTTGATATCATCGATAAAACTTTCGACCAATTACATTTTCTATTGCAGTGAACAGCTCACGTATTTATAAAATCTAAGTGACTCGTTCAACATGGAATTCATATAAAACGGAAAAATCAACAGTGTTATAGGGGGGTCGACTTGTATAGACAAGGTAGACCAAAAGTCAGTTAACCGAGAATCGTTCCAAATAAAATTCTTCTTGTTCAGTATACAAATTACATCGTTTTAACACTCACAAATTACCGAATTGTTGACAAAAATCGCGGTTAATTAACTTTTGGACCTCCCTCCACGCATATTGTAAAAGTTTACGTTTCCTTCACGAAATTGAAAAATCTAAAAATATTTGTAAGAAGTTTTATAATACATACTTATATACATAACCTAAATGTTAAATTAAAATAAATATTTGTATTTAATTAACTATTTTACAAGTTAAAACACTTACATCAGCGCCTTTCAATATTCTACCACCCCGTTTCAAATCCAAGTTCAATGCGTACGTGTAACACAAATTGATGCCATTATATTCCTAAATTAATAGTAATTTTCCATCGATTATATTTTGGAATTTTTAAATATATAATAAATTAACTGCAATAGAAAAATAAACATACAATAAATTTCAGTTTGCAGAGTTTTTCTATTTTCTGAGCAGTAGACAGGGATTTTCCATTTTCGATCATTGCGTTGAAACAATAATCAAATATTTTAAAATCCTATAATAAAATTTTAAAATGTATGTAATTTTTTTATAATAAAAAAACTAAATTTCAATTTAATAAATATAAATGGAGAATGGGTGGTAATATGGCACCCTGCTGACAATATTGAATCCCTAAGTTGTTCTGTTGTTTACTATTCTTGTAAGTGTAAAATTGTGAATTCAAATTAGGGATAAGTAGACAATAGAATAAGAAAGCTAAACATACCAGAAATTTAAAAAATTGAGTTTACATTTCATAAGAAATCGCTCAAAAACAATATACTGTATCTTACTTTTTGAAGTCCTAACTCCAATTCGCAGTCTGCTTCAGCACTTGGATTGTCTAAAGCTGTAAATGAATTATAAATGAAATTTAATTACCTTAAACGAATAAATATTCAAAAAATTAATTTCTATTTAATTTTGAAATTTAAACTGAACTGAATTTTAACTGTGAATTATCTCCCAAATTTACAATTTTAAGTTAATTGATTACTACTAAATTCCTACCAGCTGAGTTTCGATATGCATAACCTATGCTGCATTTTTTTTTCGCTGCGATGTTTACATTAATTTAGATAAATTAATTCAAAAAGAAATATATGTAAGTCGTGTATACTTCGCTGATAATGCGTAAATTTTCTAAACATAAGAACAAAGTATATATTTACAATGCGATCTCACGCGATGCAGATATCTTTACAAAAGAGACATTAAGTAGTTAATCGGTAGAGCAGTATGACAATGCCTTGTTCTCTATGCGAAGTGATTATTCTTTATGGAGAAACGAGACAGAATACACGAAGCATGTAGCTTCTACTAGATCTTTCCAACTACGAGTGCAGGAAAGCCATTGAACACTGGTCAGAAGTTGTACCTGATTAACGGGCGAGTTTTCCAAGTTCTCTTCACGAGTTCTCTTGCGTAACACATAAATAAGACCAGTTTCCCCACAGAAACTTCTCTCGGAGGCACACCTCCATGGCAGATCGCCCATGTATTGCGTTACCTTATCCTATGACCTCATCTCTTTTCCAGCTGTAAACATACGTTTTAAACATAGCAAAATAAAACTAATTGTTTCTGTATTAATTTATAAAATATTGATTTTTATTCTTCGGAGTAAGAGATTCTTTAGGCGTTATGCTAAATCTTTTTAAAATGATTACTTTCCGCTGTCTTTCCGCTTAGGAGAGACGGGTTTGTGTATTGCAACGGAAGTACCGTGCGATTTAAACATGTCACTATTTGAATAAATTTATTTTACTCTAAACATCATAGTAGAACTAATGCATCGTATGCAAGTACACGCATTGCTGGAAAAGTCTCTTTTGTGTCTTAAAGTGACAGATTTTTCCCTTTGGTAAAGAACTAGGACAGGAAGGTTTTTATCCAGCAGGAATCTGTCTTGATGGTATTCTGCAAAGAGGCCGTTTACATATTTTAAGAAATTTTCATTGAATAGTTAGAAATTTTAAAAAAGTTCCTTAGAAATTTGACATTCCAAACAACTAATTAATTTAAAATTTAAACTCTATTTTATGTGTATATTTCAAGAACGTATACAAAACACAACATACATAAAAAAAAGAAATCTTACCACAGAATCGATCCATGACGGTGCCGGTGCAGGAAACGGGTAAATTTTCAGTATAACATTTTACACGGGATAAATAAAGTAAAGAAAGAAAAATCAAACCGAAGCAATACATTTATACCTTTAAAAATATTTTCCAACAATTCAATATTCTCAATTCAATGTTTATATATAAATATATAAATCCATTTGATATCATCGATAAAACTTTCGACCAATTACATTTTCTATTGCAAAATATTTGTTTTTCTAAATATAGTTCGACTCGATAAACTTCAATTGAAAATATGTTGCTAAATTTAATGAATTTATTTATTTATTTATTTTTTTTTTGAGTTATTAGTTTTTAAAGATAAAAATTCGAGTCAAATTAGAATTTCTTTTTCTCGAAGACAAACTAAAGTTAGAAGTTAAAAGTTGTCTGGAATGTAATAAAAACAAATCGATAGAAATTTTCCTAAGGGAAAATTGTAATAAATTAAATATCAATCAAGTTTTTATAGTATTTTTTTTATAAGAATTTCCTATATTAACACAGTTTAACCTGAATTTAACGGGCAGAATTTCCGTTCTGTATGTAACATGTAGAAAATTAACACCCTGTTAATTTTAAAAGGTTTTTTTTAATATATAAGTAAATTAATAACAGGTTTTATTTTCGAATCTAAGAGTCATTGTTCTCAACTTCATGCCACAGTAGAAGTTCTCCATATATCCGAAGACAAATAAATAGGATTTGTGTGTGTTTTTGTGAAAGTTAAATTTTGTCTTCTTTTTAAGAACATTAGTTATTTGTTTAATTAAATACAATTAAAGTGTTATTTTCCAAAAGATGTTTGTTTATTTGTTTCGATTTAGATTTTATACTTGTTTACTACAGTCTCGGAACTACGATGAGTACATAAGCAATAATACACATAGAAAACTTTTCTGTAAAATTAAACTTGTCACATATACTTAATTTTAATTTTAAGTTTGTTTGTTTTATTCATTCAAGTAGCTATTTTGAAAGTGCATGAGGATCAAGCAGCGGTATAAGGGGTGGAGAAGGTGCCCGGGCGCCAAAATGAGCTCGTATAATTAAATTCCCGTATAATCTTTTCTTGTAATTAACTTCTAACTTTAGCTGTGAATACAGTGGTAACGGTGGTTTTGTGGTTTTAATATCCTAGTTTAATAAAACAAAGCTGCATAAGGTACAGGTGCATTTTAATTTGTTCATCCGTTTTACTGATATACGAATACTTTTATCCATAATTTACAGTAGCGAATATTCCGTTTAGGAAGGTTACTGTTTTGTACAGGTTCCACATTGGATAAATTTTATTGTACTTAAATGAATTTCCACATTTATATATTTACAGTAGAACCTCGACTATCCGCCCTAATTGGGGACTGGGGTTGGTCGGATAACCGAAAAGTATGAAAAAATCCATTATTAGTGTAGTATATTATTATATCCCATGTAATTAGTATATTAGTATATCGCTATTAACCTATTTTGCGTTGAATTTTCATCGATGTTAAGCCTAACAAAAATTTTTTAAAATAATAATCGTCGCTATTGTATCGTTAAAAATTAGAAAATTAAGCTTCGTTTAAATACTGGCTCCCTTTCATGGTCGAATGAGTGTTGCCAGCTAAAACACGTAAAAATAATATTAAAGTAGCC